CTGTTCCGCAATTTTCCGCTTTTTTATATGGGAAACTTAAAATTTGTCCTTTATTTAAAAATTTGTAGCAATAAAATTCATTACGATTCTGTTCACTATGTTAGCTGTAGTGATCTGCATCAAAATCAATTTCGAAGTTGTTTCGAAGTCAATTAAGTATCTTGTCAATAATTTATTTTGAACATCAGAATCTTTGTACTTTTATAGGCTTTGCTCTTTGATTGATTTTCTACAGGCTGATGTATCTTGGAGGTTCAATCAACATCACATTGAGGTCTACGGACACAAAGAGAAAGTCGGAATAAAATTTGATTCCAAGTTTTTCGACTCCGATTTCCTCTTTGGATCGATTGCCTTCAATGTGACGTTGATTGGACCTCCAAGATACATCCGATTGTAAGAAATCGGCCAAAGAGCAAAGCCTACAACGCATAAAGATTCTAATGTTCAAATGAATTATTGGCAAGCAATTTATTTGACTCCGAAACGACTTCGAAATTAACTCCGATGCAGGTCTCTAGTTAGCTGTCATTTACAGTCTATTATTTTCTATATGATGCATTCTGTGTTCTATTTCGAAAAGCAGTGCTACTACCATAATTGTTTTTTTCGGAACCGATACATATATCCGATTATTACGGCAATTGAATGTTAGTCGATTCAATCGTTGCAGAAATACAGATTCATTGAAATACTTCATTGTCACACGAACATGCATATAGTTCCATGGCTTCAAAAGGAGTTTCTAAGCGAAACCCATTGGATCAGCACACGTAACTGATTTGAAAAAAATCATGTGCTTCATAAAATATCCATCTTCGTTATGTATTTCTCATCGTGTTTTGGAACTTTCAGAATGAAGAAGTATCACAGAAAGAAGAAAAAAGTTATTGAAACCTATAGCAATGCCAAAGTTTCACAAAAAACAGCTTTCCGCAATTTTTCCGTTTTTTGTACTTTTTCTTTCCGCATTTTTCCGCTTTTCTAACTGAACTTTCCGCTTTTTTGACTTGATCAGGTGGCATCCCTGGTGTAAGTGTGAGTGTGTGGGTGCGGACGTGGGTAGGATGTGGGTGTGGGTATCGGTGTGGGTATGGGTGGGTATGGGTAAGGGTGTGAAATGATACTGAAGAGACCCACATCCTCACCAACCCACCTACACTCACAGCCACACCCTCTCTGTTAATCTAGATAATAAAAATACATTATGTAAATTAATTGAATAGATTTCAAAAACATTTGGATTTTCAACAATAGCCGATACGGATATGAAGATAAGTTTATTTTCTGTGGAAACAAATAAGAGTTCACCAATATGAAAATTAATATTTGTAATAGTATTAATTCTTACGAATATTCTTCGATTTTTTCTCGTAATATCAATACGATGAATAGTACTATTGTCAGTAGATTTTCGTTGGCGATATCGAATAACATCTTTCCATTCAGTTTTATGCAAATTATTTTCTTCTTCAGATGATGATGATATTGAGACGAAATAAAGAGAGTTATTATCATTTGCCCATGTAACAGCTAATAGTTTTTCAGTTTTAATACCAATCAATAATATCTCTTCTGTCATTATATTATATAGATGAATGCATTGTTTTAGGTTTGAATGATTTTTGTTTGCATGTCGAGAATGATGATAAGCGTCTATTGCCGTAGTTTCAGAATTTTCATTGAATTAGAATACAATCCAATTATCACTTGATGAGCATTTTGGTTTGACACTGGCAGAAAGTTGTTTAGTAACTAGTCTTTTTTTATCCATCTTGAGTTTTATAGAGCCAAAGTATATTGTCATATTAATACGATTCCCATGCAGGACGTCGATTACGAACTAATGTCCATTTCAGAGTTAAATGGTCGTGGGTATTTTTCGAATAACTTTTGATAGGAACGAGATAGAGATCTGCGGTTTTAACTGTTAGAAAGATCAGATGAAAATGCAACGAATTATACATAGAAAGATTTTTCTAATGACTTTTCTAAAGGTTTTAGGTAAGGCTCCAAAGGAAATAGCATGTCTCTAATGATTACGATATTAGTTTATTGATTTTCAGGAGTGTGATAGAGCCGCCAAGTGAAGAGCTACAAAAACTATGGAAAGGCTCTGTTCCTAACTACTATCAATAACATATTTCAGCCATTGAAGTGCAACTTACCACCCATGTTTTCAACAAAATAGTCGAAAAATGGAGGTTTTTCGTGGTATTTCGATGGAAAAAGTACTTTTTCAACGTATGAGAAAAACGCACTTCTTTGAAAACGTTTGACTAAAACATTCAGGAGAGTCGTTAGAAAAATCTTTCTACATATGGTTCGATGCATTTTCATTTTCTCTTTCCAATGGTGAAAACCACAGGTCTCTATCTCATTCCTGTCAAAAGTTATTCGAAAAAGCCTACGGCCATTTATCTCTGAAATGGACATTAGTCAATATTCACCATTTGGTGAAAGACTCAATTATGGATAATAAGTCAAATTAAGAAGATCATCGATAGTTAATTTAGGTAGAGTCTGAGTTGAGATACAACAGAAGAAGAGTAAGTACCACGTGGGGTGTGGGTGTGGGTGGGTGTGGGTGTGTGGGTATGGGTATGGATGTACCTCTGCTTGTGGACTTTATAGAAGATCACAGCCACACCCACACCCTGAATAATATAGAACCGTTGAATTAAAAGATATATTGATTAGAATAAATATGCTTTAGACTTTTTGAAAATTGAATGTCTTAGAAAGAAATGTGCATATGAGAGGTTTTTCCACGTTGAACAACGCTAATTGTAATTCTTAACAATCTTTTCTTTCAAAATGTGGGTGCAGGTGTGGATGAGTGTCCGTGCGTATGGGCGGGTGAGTGGGTATGAGTTGGGGTGTGGGCGTGGGCGTGGGTGTGGATTTTACTTCTCATGACGGGCACACTTACTCACCCTACACCCAGACCCACACCCCGCACTTTCCTCACACCCCACACTCACACTCACCCCACACCCACACCCCACACACCCACACCCACACCCGCTCTCAACCTTGTAGAAATTTAATCTTAATAAATTTCTAACGAGCGCTCCGTCTCGCACGCACCTGCAACGTCTTGATAAGAATCGTGTTGCACTATCTCATACGTTAAGTTGGAAAGATATTTGATTTATAATCTTGTTTTATAGTCTAATCTCATCGGTGCGATATTTTTTCCTTGCGCAAACAGTTTGTTGTCAGTATATTATTGGTGTTTTGCATGTATCGTTTAAGCAGTGAGCTCAGGAAGAAAAAACCAAGTCATATCTTGTATCCTGCTCTCTCCTATCATCAATAGGTCATTATCATGTCCAACAATCGTGTTTATACCATAAACAATGACTCGACGGTGGTTATTAATAGCCGCTTCGTCACTTCCAATATTACACTGGGCGATCCTGTTGCTACAGGTACCCGTGCCTGGGTTCAAAATACATACGCATCCAAATACAATCATGCTGTTAACTGTTGGGAAGCTTTCGATAGTTCTAACAAAAAGCGACGAATGCATGGAGGACATCTATTACTTTATCGATTGTTCACAGCCGCTGTTGTTATTGTATCGTTTGTCTTGGGGGGCTTGAGCAATGAAGTTAAAGCTTATGTCAGTTTTCCAATCGTTTCCTCTGTGATTTATCTCGGGTTGACTATCTGGAATTGGCATGTATTTCGAACAAACGGATATCTTCTGCATTCACACATGATTCCTGTGTCTGCAAGTGCACTTCCTGGTTGGTCAAACAGATTTTTTACCATTCCCATCCACACTCAAATCACCGATCATCAAATATCTAGTATTATGAATCAGGCTGGAGCAGCCATCGCTCATCTTATGCAACAAAGTCAAGGACAAACGTCTATTGACATAATGGCTTATACAAACTCCTATTTAAAAAAGACGAAATTCCCAATGGAAAGTGTTCTTCATTTTATCATTTTTATCATTATTCTGATCTTTGCAATTGCACGAGTGGTTAGTAAATAAAGGGCATGATCCTGAACATTAGTAATACGATGTGTTTCATATATATGTTCTAGAGTGCTGAATCAAACCAAACTTGAGTTATAAATTACACGCAGAAATGTCAGTACTTGTCTGCACGTAAGTGTGGGTATGGATTTTGTGGGTGTAGGATGTAGGAGTCGGTGTCGGTGCGATTCTGGGTATCAAGTGACGGTATACCGACAACTACACCCCACACCCGTACCCATAGCCACACTCACACACGCAACTGAACCCGTAACCACAACCAAGCATACTTATGCCTACACCCACACCCACACCCATACTCATACGCTCATTCTCTAGAAAACAGTATATTTCGGGCAGCGACTTACATATGTATGCCCTATAGATAATGTCAATTTGCAGCTGAGATGGGAAGTTTTGGGTCATCCTTTCGAATAATCTAATATAAATCAACTCTTCGAAATTTAACTGATTTAGACAATTATTCTATAATAAAAAGTAGGGAAACAATGAGTTGAAACAATGCAATTATAGTTGACTTTTAACCACAAAGACAATTAGTAAAATAAAATATTTTCTCCCAGCGGTCATTTTCTACTACTGACATAAGCTGCTTCAACATATGCAAGTTTTCGGCATGGGCAGGGTGTGGCTGTGGCTGTGAGTGTGGGTGTGGTTGGCTGCAGACGTCGCGGTGGGTGAGTGTGGGTTTGGGTGTTACCATTGTCATTCACATCTACACCCCACCAAACTCTCTCCTGAGTCAGTCGTCTCCAGTTTGTAATGCTAATTATTTCGATATCGCTTAACACTTTGTCCTTCCACCTTTTCCTAACTTCTCGTCCCTCGAGGTCGGCTTTCATCAACGACATATGAAAACATAATCTTTTTAATCAGTGATGCCTCTTCATCATTGATTGATGCCCTGTTGACATGACCGAACCATCTCGGTCTATTTCTTCGCATGATGTTGTTTATAGGTGGTTGTCCGGTTAATTTCAGTATCTTTTCATTTGATAATCTATCTCTAAGATTCACTCCAATGATCGTTCGTAAGCATTTTATATAGAAGGTGTTAATTCTTCGTTCTTGAGTTGTTGTGAGTGCCCATATGTCATTTCCGTACAATAATATTGAAAGCACACAGGCTTTGAAAGTTTGAAGTTTTGCTGTGATTGAAACTGATTTTCTAAACCACATCACATGTCACAGCATATTAGACCTTGTGGCAGTTTTCGCTAATCGTGTTTCCAACTCTTCTTCCAAACGTTGATTTCTTGTGATATAATACCCCAGATAAGTGAATGACGAAATAGTTTCGATCTTTTGATATCGAATAGTTGTGTCTATAGTAGGATGGTCCGCTTCTTGATTTTTGAGAACTTTACGATCTTGATCTTCCTTCAATTGCTGTAGAGTCATGACAAATGTTTTCTTTATGTTCATATTTAGACCATATTGTTGCGTGATTTTCTCGCAAGTCTTTATAAACTTCTCAAGGTCTTCGGCTTTTTCACACATTGCGACTAACTCGTCTGCGTACAGTAAGATCAAGACATTAAAATCTTCATGCTTCTCTCGCTTCCCCTGATGAAAATCATTGCTACCATAAGAGAATTTCACACCGGCCATACCACCTTCTTCAATAACTTTTCTAATAATGAAGTCGAATACCCCACACCCACACCCATCCACCCCACACCCACAGCCACACCCACCCACACTCACCCACACCCACACACCCACATCCACACCCACACACCCACACCCACACCCACACACGCGCACCTTCAGTAGTTTAAGATTGTATTGTCCAAGTATTGCTTATCGG